CAAGCACGTGTACACTTGACCTACACAACGTAATGATAGGCATACAGACGCAACAAATATGTGTCGATTTGTCTTGTCCATACATGCATTCCCGAAAGGATTAGTGCGAAATTTATTCAGCAAATTTTATGCCAAAAGAAAAAGAAAAGAAAAATTTCAAAATAAAATAAGTTTTTTTTTTTCTTTGCTTTGTTTGGATCAATGGATTAGACCTGCTGCTGACGATAAGGCCAATCAATATATTCAGTAGAGTTTTTTTTTTTTTATTTATAGATTCTTTGCGTTAAGTCTGTTGATTTTATTGGGCTTATTGATTGTTTATAATTCATGCTCGTAAACTTTGAGGTTATGAGAATTCTTCAATTTTACTTTTGCACGTAATTGTTGTGAAATTTCTCCTCAATTTTTTCTTAGTTGAGATATATACGCTAAAGTTGGTTGTGTTCTCGCCAAAATTGACAAAATGACGCCTACACAGTGTCTGCTATATAGCTATATATAGCAACTAATTAGATGTACAAAAAATGCTCTTAAAATTATTTTTTTTTACTTTGTCGGAGGACGGCACACGTAATAATGTACTCCAAAGGAAAATATTTAAAATGAATAAAAATTTTCTGGCTTGTATTTATCTAATTTGTCTTCTTGTGCAAGAGCTTGAAGTAAACGATTGTAGCGAATGCAAGAATTTGTTTGAAAATAGTTCCAGAAAACATCGATTCAGCGATAAGCTAAGGAAACGAAAAGCATCTACACCCACGTGACGAAACTACCCCGAAACCCTGCCATTAGTTCAAACACGATGATACGAGAACCTTACACATAATCGAAGGCAGGCCGCGAGGCAATAGGTTAGCTTAATAGCCATAGGCAAAACGCGGGCATTAAGCGTAGTTGTTTTGACAGACTTTAAATAGTCCGACATTGACATTAAACGATAGCCATCGTTCAGGTTTCTGCCAATAACTCGGAACGGATTGAACAGCTCGTAATTGTCTTCACATTGATAAAAGTTTGCGAAGGTAAAGTGCCAAGAGAAGCGATTAGGGACAGTAATTAGTAATATTAACTTATTTAGAAGGAAACATCAGAATAAAACTACGGTTCTCAGGCGAAGGTAAGAATTACGGAAGGAACGTATTTTCATAAGAAGGCGGAGACACAAGGGGTTCACAACCCAAATTGCTAAGGGCTAACAGCATGAATTGCTTTTGAACAGATTCAAAAGAATCTGCAAACACCTATGGAAAGGAGACCAAACAACAGAGGCACAGTCAAGTATTAATCCAATTAAGCACATGTATCGATTTAAGCTCTTTGGGCCGTCCCTTAATGAAACCTAGCGCGGCCCTCGTATTACTTGAAGAGAGCTCAATGTGCAAATTAAAATGTAGTTTTTGGTCGAATAGAACCCCTAAATGGATGAATGAATCAACGGTTTCCAACTTGGGCGAATCAATGAAATATCCACTACTTCTTGAATTTTTAGATTTAATTTCACCAAATTTAATGAGCATTGTCATCGAAGAGAGGGAGCAGCTGAGCACAGCAGCGCTATATCATAGATTTCGAAAAGAAAATGAATAGAAACCAGGCAACAACTGACGTCTAGTGTTACATAATAGCGGAGTATCGTCAAAGTGGTGGGGTAACAACGCTTCTTGCGGGCCAAGGTACGCTAGTTCGAAGTACAGCAGTAGGGAAATGACTATGATTAGGCAGGGCGTACATTCGAGAACATATACCGGTATCTGCATTAGAGACCTATTTTTTTTTAATCCAAGCAGACAATTGTTATATTGTAAATAACTTTTTAACAGACCAACACCGGCATTGATTTTCAATTCACGTAACGACATAGACATGTCATCAACTTTGGATTTGAGTTAATAACTCTCTTTGTTTATTTGTAATGTTGGCTCTATAAAATGTTAGGAGCGACTTCTTCTACGTTGTGTTGTGTTTACTCTGCTTACGTAGAAAAGTGCTGCGGCATCTATAAAGAATATTTTATTATTATTTATTTTAGGATATTTCGCTTCACTTTTCATTTCATTTCGAAGCAAGATTCTAGTGGGGCTGGTGGTTCGAACTCATTTTCTTATATAAAAGATACGTAATGCTATACGTTAAGTTTTAGTCTTGGCTTCTTCATCATTCGAGAAATTTATTTATTTTGTTTATTTTCTACGTATTTTGTAAACAAATCTAAAAAGTATGGATTTTTTAAAGCCTGCCGGTTAACTTAGATCGTATGCTCGCCTGCACTTAAAATAGGAACCAGTAATCATCGAGTTGTTCCTCGCGATCCTTTGCCTATTCGACTACTCATGCCTTATATATATATATGCCCGTGAAGTACACATTTTTTTACATAGATTATTTCGCAACCTGTAGTTGAAGACAAGACATTCGGCGAGTTGATGAAATAGTTACGATATTGGAGAGGTTTTTACATTTATTCATAAAACTTGCCTGCTAATAAATGCTATTTTTCCCATAACTCTTTGTAACAGGAAACCATGACTTTTTATGGCCATGACTTTTATGGCATACACCATAAAGCTTTGCCTGCCCATCCACAATTTCTAATCTTTATTACTTATTCTTGGCAGCTCAACCCAGAACAACCTCGCAGCATTTACTAGTTTATTTAAAGCATTTAATGGGTAAAGCGTTCTTTTTGATCGTTTGTTGAACATTGCTTTAGAGAATTTTTTCATTTCCGGTTTTTGTGGTCCACACTTGCACCAATTGAGCAAACATTTCATGTTTCTAACTGAAGGCTAAAATTGTTCTTAGGTGATAAAAACAAGAAATGGTTATTTTGTGTAAACAAATTCAGGTACATCTATGTACATAACACATAAGACTTAGTATAGCACATGCATGTATAATATGTACATATTTTCCAGTCATTGATCTAAAAAAAAAAAAGAAAAAAGGAAAATATCTTTTTTCTAAACACAAACACTTTTATGTGCAAGCATTTGTACATGCACATGGCTGCATTTTCCTGTGTGCGTGTCTATGCATGTTAATAATATTAGCAGAAAATATTGCTTTTACAAAAACAACCGAATATTATTTAGCTGTAAAGAAACCTTTTGCATGTTTCTTCATATTTATGCAGTGAATGTTTTCAAAACTTGTTATGGCTTTTAAAACGAAACTTTAATGCCTTACATTAAACAAATCATGAGCCCTATACACACTGAATAATAATGTTTTTCGTATGGAATTTAAATTATTTCTACTTTTATTATTAAAATGTGGTTTTAAGAAGGATTATATTGTTTTTTATTGTTTTCCCTTTGTATTTTACTACAACAGTTTGCCTGGTAATGTAAAGAGTGACACGATTTTGCAGTTCTTAAGACACGTTTTCTAATTAATTTTCAATTATTTTATTGCGGTTAAGAAGTTCCCACATTATAAAGTTTTCTATCCACAGTTGCACGTTTTCCATAAACGCGATACTTCTTCCGAATCCCGTGATTATGATCATTATATATATATAATTATAATCATATAATTTTACATAGTTCCGGTCCAAGTAATAAAGATTTTTGTACATCGCCCTTTACTCCTAACGAAATTAAAGATGTTTATATCCATGCATATATAGGAATTTTAAACGCTGTGCTTAAGCGTAAGTAAGTTTTTTCATCGCTTGAAATTGCAATTGAAAACTCGAAAAACCGGCTCACATTTAAAATCGTTTCTTCACACGCTTGTCAGGTTAAATAAGAAAAGGCCACTAGATTAGACCATAAACCTGGATATAATTTGACAAACTTTCTTAAGTTGCTTTTACTTAGTTTTTTAAGTACGAAGTAACTCTGCTTGAGAGATTTAAATGCGCATAGAGTGTGTGTGTGTGTGTGTAGAAGAAGACGCTACCTGATGTGTTCCTATGTGTACCTCCCCATATACATACTTTCTGCCTAGTGAGTTGATCTTCGTTATCCTATTCAAATCAGTTGTATAGGTATTAATAGATTCGGCACGAGACGAAAGCATTCTCTTTTATCTGAGTACTAAGCACACCCTGTACATTCTCTAATTGCAAAAACATAAAGCTTAATAAGAGGTATAATGTTATCTAGATCCAAACCAAAATCTCATTTAATATGCATGCATGTGAAATGAGTGAATGATGTGAATGTAACGATTTTAAACTTTTTCTTCTTCTTTATTGCGCTTTAGAAGACGATGAACATCATTTTATGAAATTAGTTTTTGTTGTTCATTTTTTTTTGCTTTTTTTTACTTTTTTGTGTTAAATAAGACTATGAATTTAGTATACCTTAATGCGATGTACGATGTGTACGAAACAGAAGCATGCGATACAAGAGCAATTAGAATAATAATTGCATTATGAAACGTGATGCTATATAATAAGAAACCGGGTGTCTCTACGTTCGTTTTAAAGGAAATGGAAAGTTAGAAAGGAACAAGGAGAACTAGTAGTAGTAGTAGTAGTAGTGTAACCTTACTATATATAGAATTACGATACGTTGTGGTCGATAATGTATACTTCATTTTAGTTGCTTATTCTGTGCATTAATAAATAAACTCTAACTAATAAAGTAGAAATTCTTAAGTATATGTAAATATAAATTATCATTTTATTGAGTTTATGACAACCTCCGCTAACCTACAATGATAATATAAATGAATAAAGGAGAAAGACAACGAGAGAACAAGTAGTTATGATTTGTAAAAAAGCAGCAGAAAAACCGCAATAAAACAAAAAAAAAAAGAAAAAACAAAGAAATATACTTGTGTTGTGCAAACAATACGCAATAGTACGTCAAGAATTTTTTTTTTTTTTTTTGCTGATTCGCCATATAAATCTTTATGACTGATAATAGATTACACGATCTCTGAGTATGCGAGAAGTTCTGCCGTCACATTATTACTTTTTAGGCATGTGCTTGCGTAGATTCAAGATTTTCAGGTGTAACCTACTTTTAATAAATACGGTTGATACTCACCAAAATAAAATTCTCAATGAGTTGGCAATCAATAGTGCAAAGCATACATGCAATGAGAAGCCTTCAGCGTCTTGGGTTTTCTTAATCTCTAAATATTGGGGTACATAGGGTATTACGCCACCGATCACCATTGCCGAAGCGGCCGCCCAACCAACTACATGACCTACAGTTAGGCCCATCTCATCGCTGATTATCCAATCCATACTGAAAGCTGTGATCGTCGAATACGCCGGCCAAGGTTAGATTAATTTATAGGTATATATTCTTTTTTTTTTTTTTAAACGTTTAATTTTTTATCTAATTGGTTGTTGTTGACGTGCGATTATTATTATTATTTAGTTGATATTGTATTGCAATTAAGATTGGATATGTACCGTTTTGTGGTTGTGAATTAAGTGTATTCTAAAGTCTGGAAGCTTTTAGAGTATAGATACAAGTGGGCGTAAATGTCATTTTTGTGTGCCAAGAATTAAATAGAGGCAACAACAATTTCATTTTTGAAAATTTTTATATTGCTACGATCGGCAATGTTTATATGAGAGTTTTATTTGCTTTTTGTTTTGATAATGTAATTAAACAAAACATGCATTCCCACTCATACACAACACACACAAATATACACACGCACTATCAGCAGTTATTATTATTGGTAGGCGTAAACTTGCCCCGTGCAATCTTAGGTTTTTATATCTCACCGTTGGTCTAGAGATTTTCAACATGCACACGCACACCGACATACATGCAGGAAATGATAAAATTGTAATTAGAAAAAATAAAACTGCCCTCTTATGGGTTTATTTACAATTTATTGAAATTTAAAATTTTGTTTACACTTAATACCGGAGAATAAAAATTAGAACATTTTTTATCATAAATTTTCTTTATAGTAACGCTATTATTGACTTTTCCAATGCACTTCTATTCCATTTTTCCGTCCATAAAAAAGGCAGATATATGTGAAAAATATATGAAAGAAAACTTTATTACGTTTCCCTTTAATTTTCTTTATCACGTCGCGACTACAAGGGAAATTATTATTTATTACATCTTTGTTATTATTTTCACAAATATCAAATTTTCTGCAAATATTTTGGATTTAGAGAAAAAATTGTCGCAGCAACAATTCTTCCTCTTTGCACCATTTTCAACAACTCAACAAAACTAAGTCCAGTGTTACCGCTATATGATTTTTAATCCAATTTAGGCGAGAGTACATTTGAGAGTAAAATTTGCTTGGCTGAGTGTTTTTATGTTTTGAGAGTAAGCCTTCTCATTTGATGTTGTAGGACAACATTGGTTACCATTTCAGGGCGTCCCGTTTGTTTTCATGACGATTTCGAATTTAAGAATTGCTGCGCACATGAATGAAATGAAATGAAGCTTGGAAGACGGGATCTGCCAGATCACTTTCGTTTTCCGTATCAGAACATATTTCCAAGTTTTCTATGGCTGAGTTACGATTATTTTTCCTTTCCGCAGCAAATTTTTTATAAGCATAAGAAACATATTTTAGCAATGAATGTTTTTCGCATTATTTATTTTCCACTTCATTGACGTTTATATAAAGAAACGTTTGCTTTAGCAATGAAGGCAAGTTATATTCTTAATTGACTTTTTATTGCGTTCAGCGCTAAATAATACGAATGATAAAAAACTTGGCATCCAGAGGGCTATGTTTGTAAATTTTATTATTATTAAAGAATAATGTGAAAATGGCAACTTTACTAAAGCAGCTGGCAATAAACATCTGTTTGCTAGCGAGCATATGTTAAATTTAGTAATTCTCTAAAAACAAAAATATTTACAAAATGTCGCATTTAACAATTTTACGTCATATGTTAAATAAAAATCGTCAATTATATCAACAAATCAATCAATTTAGCCGATCATGTCTTTGGCAACAAAAATCAAATCGTGAAGTTCAAACCAGAAAAAGTGGCTACGGAGGAACCGCAGTTTCCACTGATGTGCGGCCGTTGGGAGAGAAAATTAAAGAAAACACAAAAACCGCTAGTTATGTAGCTATAATTGTGGCTGGAGTTGGAGTGACGGCTATTATGTTTTGGACTATTTTCAGTGAACTGTTTTCCAGCACTAGTCCGAACAACATATACTCGAGTGCTTTGGAGAAAGTGAAAGATGTGGGCAAAAAAAAAAAAATGTGTAAAGTGAAGCTTACTTAAATATTAATTGATTTGTTAGGATCCGCGCGTTCAAGATGCCATTGGAGCACCTATTAAGGGTTATGGCGAAGAGTCGCGAAGAGGACGCCGTCAGCGTGTAGCACACAGCGAATATTTACGTAACGGTATTCCCCATATGCGCATGCAATTCTATATACAAGGCATCAGAAATAAAGCAACTGTACATTTGGAGGCCAGAGAGGTGAAAATGGAATTTATATAAAAATAAAGTCCGTATATTACTATCCTTTTCATAGAATTCCAATGGAAAAATGGAGTATCGATACCTTTTTGTACAGCTTGACAGTTATCCCCATACTACAGTAATTTTAGAAGATAACCGTGGCAATGATCCCGAAATGAATACGCAAAGTTCGCAAGGTCAACTGGGTGACAATAAATTGGCATTTGTTTCGCTCAGCGGAAAGCAATGATAATTTTTCTAAAATTTTACAGTTAAATGAAAAACATTTCAAAATAATAAGCGAAAAACCGTCAATAAAATTACCTCCCAATCTATTAAATTTAAGAACATTTCCGTTACTTTACTGGAAACAACCCAGACTTTATTTTCACACACGTATTATTTGAATTAATTTCTAATTATGGCAACACTGTTTCCTTCCCGCACTTTTAAGGTTTTCGCCGCATTTTGCTTCTCGTTTTCTTAAATAGGTTTGTTTGGTTTAAGTTCTATCAAATTAAACACCTAAACTCAAGATCCAAAAAAAAAAATATTACACAAACGATTTGGCCAGAATTTGGTATAGAGATATTTGATATTTAAAAATCCCCAAAAAATGTCAATATATTTTGCGTTCTTGAAATAAGATGAGTTTCAGTATTTATGCAACTTAAAAATAATAATAATATAACTAGAATAAAATGAACGACAAAAGGCTATTCGATTACGAATAATGTTTTCTTTTTAAGCGCAACCTGTAAATTATATTAAACAAAGGGTTTAGTTAAGCGCGTCTCAGAAAACGGCGTTATGTATTTTTTTTTTTTATGTAGAAACACTAAATGATTATCTATCATTGAAAATATAAAAAAAGTTGTTTCAATTTCATTCTTCATGTTGCGGTCGGTCTATACATCTTCCCGAGTTGTATATATTTTAAAATTGGCGGCTTAAGTCTGTAGTATCGGTACTAAACCGCAACGTTTCATTCGTTTTACGAAGGATCGGATGAAAGTTGTGCTTATATGTACTGCTTGGAAAAAAATCTACTATTTTGGACAATATGAACGTAAACAATCAGGTAAACGTTTTTTGCATAGATTCTATCGGGTTTACTTCTAAAACATTTGTTATATTCTCTGAGCTGCAGTCTGAAAGGAAAATTTTTAGAAAAAGCAAAAGAATTGCAATTTTCTCTCTTTTGCTTAAACGTAAATCAAGTTTGCCTTGGGATTGACTAATGTTAGATTCAGTAAGCACAAAACTTTCACGTTTAATGGCGTTAGATGGCGAGTCGGTTTCTGCACGCTTTGTAAATGTTTGCAATAAATCTCAGACCCATATCTGCTTCACTTCGTTGTATATTTAAACGGAGAACAAGCTCGAATCGTGGCCAGAATACGGATTGCAAGGAGTCCCAGTACTTGCAAGATATATCGTAAAATATATTCGTGTCGCAGACAAAAAAAAAGAAAGAAACTCCTTTCTCTAAAGCTGGCAAGCAGCGCTTATGACACATAAGCTGATACCTGAACATCATGCTTTAGTAATATACGGAACAAAAGTAAGAGAGAAAGAACGGGAACAAGCTGCCTTTCCTTTTTTTTTGCTGTATATAAAGATTAAAATAATGAAATTTATGCATTTACACTTTAGATATATAATCACCTCTTATCAATTGATTCATATTATAAGAAAATTTAAGCATAGCTTCCGTCTTAATTGTCTGAATGTGTGTTTGGCATGAAGGTACGCGCATTTTATGATATTATTTGTAATAACATGCAGGAGACAGGAAACCAAAAAACGTATTATACTGATCGAGTTTCTCTCTTTGTGAACTGAGACACACGAAGTGCAGCAGCAAGCGTTAGGTATTTAAATAAATTTTTGCAGCCAAGAAAAAGAAATCGGAAACCACACACAACGTTATAGCCTTAAAGGCTTAAATAACTTTACTTATGTAAGCAGAACAGAAGTGAAAATTTGGCTTCAAATATTTTTTGCTTTCTTACTACTACTACTTACTCAGATAGGTTTATGTTACTTTTGTGATGGCAGTCGTACTATGTGGGAGCACGCATCAAAGACCTTTAGCGTTTAGAAAACTTTTGACGATCTTAGCGACAAAAGTTATGTTTGCGCGGAGGACAGGCGGAAATTGTGCACAAGATTCCCCACAGCTGTTCGAAGTTTGAATATCCAACATTGCCTACAAAGTGACGTCGTAATAATTGTGAGGGGCAACATATTTTATTGAGACGCTAACGTGGATAATTTTATTGCAAGTTATTTTATATTACGCACTGCTGGTTACTTAAGATACATTTTGCAGCGGTATTGTTATCTTATTCTGTTGAATTGGTTAAAAATTTTACACGTCTATAACGATTTTGTCGGCCTGGAAATTTTAAACATATACAGGACTGGTACATGACCTAGATTTGAAAAAAAACAAATAAAATCTTTTCTTTCCTCTCTTCGGCATGCCTTCCCAGTGTTCATTTCGAGAATTGGACTGCTGCGGCGCCAGCTGGGAAGTTTTTTGAACGCCTTAATGGAAGTAGAGGTTGTTTGTATTCAAATTTTTTAGGAATACTGCAGTGCTTGCTTAGATAGACTATGCTTATCTACTTAGAAAGATAAGCAATCGATAGACTTTGGCGATTGTCATCGCTTCTCATCGCCAAAGTTTAAGGTTCGTTTCATTCACTTTACTATTGCATCTTACTGACACGGATATGTTTTGCGTAGATGCACGCATAGATCGTGATACGTGAAGCTATTTGCCATGGTTCACAGCTTGTCGGGATAATACCAACGTCCGTAAATTGGGACCGAAAACGTAACTTATTAAGGCGGAAAGCGGCTTTTATTTAAAAAGCTTGTACTCTTTTACGATTAAACGGATAGGCGGATTGACAAATTAGACCAACAACAGAAGCTAGAAAATGAAATCCAATGTGAAGAGGGGAAAAATTTCTGCTCATATATAATATAATACTTCAATATTGGATACAGTGATCAAAAGAGAAAGTTTGGCTATAGTACGTTTTTTATATACCTATCACCTTTAACTTTGGCTGAAATGGCAAGTTTTTGCATTATACGCTATGACGACACGATATATATAAGCGAAGATCGATTCGTATATATGGTCATTTATGAATGTACAACGCATGCAAGTCTTTATTTGTACCATTTTGGTTTCTGTAACTTTGCAACTAAAATGAATGAAAACATTGTAACGGGACATAGTCCATTAGTAAATGCTCCACATTGCCCTACAGTTATTCATATCTTAAATCGAGCTCATTCCGGATAATTAATTTTCCTAAAATAATAAATTCCCTAGAGAGGGGTCCATTTGTGGCGCATCATGCGGCTACCAGCCGAGGAAAACGATTACCGGAAAAACAGGTTAACAGATTAAAAATGAAGCCATGAATTTAGGTAATAGTAATATGCTGGTAAAAATGTATATAAATAGATTATTTGCGGGAGGGAAAGTGAGTCGAACAAGAACATTTGGGTCGAGAGTACTGCCAAAATGAATTATGAATAATTTTTCTGTTAGGGATTTTATTGTAAATAGAAGAATTTTAAGGTGTATTTCCCTTGAAAAGAATATCCACGATCTCGTGGTACGAATCCCATGATAGAAAAGCGAATTTCGTAACATTGTAAAAAATTTTCAATATAAGGGATTTTATGCGCCGATACGAACCATATTCGATAGCCTTTAATCAAATTATCTCAAATTTTGATGCTTTTAGATTGAACGCAAACAACCAAGACGGACAGACGGACTAACTGAGAGACAAGGTTAAATTTATTGGCGATTATTTTCTGAATCGGATCGGTAAGTGGATTTATAACAATGCCTTTTTAGTGGTGAATACGTAACAAGCAAAAAAAAATATTAAAAATATTGATCGCCTCGGAAAGTAAACCTTATGGCTAACACCAGTTTCGTTCGATAATTAATTGTTTATCCGAGCAGCACTTCCGTTTCATAATTATCAGCTTTTTGAAGGCCTGAAAGCAGCAGGTAACCCTATGGAGACCTTACACTGACAATCGAAATGAAGGCTTTTTTGCAAACGACTATCTAAGGACTTATATTTATCTCTAGTACGTTTCCCGTTAGGGGGAATATGGCAATCGATCTACGTGAGCTGATCTGCCCATATACTGGTCTGTGTGTTAAAAACTTGTTCGCAAACTTTTCTTATCATGGTTCTCAGAAGCGATTCGCGGTCGTGAGCTCGGCTACAATTAGGTAGTTATGTAAATATGAAACCGGAATTTTTATATATCAGATAAAAAATATTTTTCAATAAAATTAAGTCGTAACGGTTTGCACAAGTTAACGTCATTCCTTCACTGATATGTGGTAAACAATGCAAATAGCGCTCCTATGACAGAAAGTGCTGGAAGAAGGTTGGGGTCAGAAAAATGCTAAACTTCTCAGGGGAAACTTCGAACGGCCTCCGACAATAGGTTTGAACAATTCGTTAGTCATATACATCTTCTTCTTCCCGATCATGTCGCCTACAGGCTAATGGCAGATGCTAAAGGATTCGACTTAAACTGAATAAGTGTTCTCCTCTTTCCTTTCCGCTTTTTTCTCGTTTTCTTCAAATGAAACCGCAGTATATGTCAAGTAATTATCGAAAAATTAGACATATTCCCTCTTAGTGCGTATGTCGCTAACACTTTACTTGTCAAAATTTTTTTTACTTTTCTTCAAAAAAATTCAAACTGACATGAACATTATATCCTCGCTTTTTGGACATTTCGATTACTGATAAAAGAAAAGCCTCGATGTGGTATTGTAACCGCAATATATGTGACGGAAGGACAAGAAATATATATTTTCATTTATATCTTTTTTTCTTTAATAACCTTTTTTTTTTTTTCTTTAATGTTATGGTAGAATATTTAAACGTTTTTTCTTCGACATCTTTTTTCGTTTTTTATATAATAGGTGCGAAAAGTATTAAAAAATAATTCTCATGCAAACAATGGATTAAACGTTTATGGAAAAGTTTTTTTACGAAAACCACATCTCGATGTTATTATTATTATTATTATTATTTTTGCTTTGTTTTTTTTTTTTGTTTTTTTTTTTAAGAAAATTATCATTTGTTTGATATTCTGATACGCTTGAGAATTATTAGGTGTTTCCAACATTTGTCATAAACCGAAACGTTTGCTGCTATTTAACCTAAACAAAGAAAAAAAAAAAAAAAGAATGAAAATGAAAATGATTACCGTTTTTTGTTGTTGTTGTTGTTGCGTTGTTGTTTGGTTAGCTTATCGTGACAGCCTGAGTATCCAATGAGAGTCAAGTTTTTGTATATACATTTATTGTGCTTTGCATGTATATTTAATACAACATCACATGAATTTGTCGTTTGGTTTCTTCTGATGAACGCCATGCTATGTGTCATAACCAACAACAACGATATCACAGGTGCTTTAGTGCTCGAGGCTATCTCTCCACCATCTCTACCCCAATACATATGATAACGCAAAGCAGAGCTGTACTTAAAAAGGCAAAAAAAAAAAGGGCGAAAAGAAAAAATCGCAGGGAAACGCGACAAATTCAAAAAGTATAAATAATAAAATCGTACAGCATTACACTACGGCAAGGAAACAACAAC